TGCGGCAGAAGCTGCCGGGCGGGGCGTTCCCGGGACAGCGCGCCCCCGGCGCTCCTCCCGCTCTGCGGGCTCCGGGACTGAATCCCGCTTTCCACAGGCGCGGTCTGCTCGCCTGGCATTTTTGCAGGCCTCCGGGGCGAATCTCTGTGTAAGATGCTACACTGCAAACTTGACCCTTTAAACCTTTACGCAGACATCTTTCATCTAACCAGATGAATAATCCTGGTTTAGCCGGTGGCACCAGGCACACACTTGAGGTTTATCGGCTTAGCAGGTTTAAAGCCTGCAGATGTAGCATATCCAGCTTCTGCTTCATGTTTGTAAGTAATGTAGTAGTATTGGTGTGGAAAATGCATTTCTCCTGCTGGAAAGCTGTGGGACCTGTATAAAATCTGAAGTTCATGTAGATTGATGCATTTCCTTTTACTCTAGGCATCTAGGCAAGCATCAGGTATCCCTGGGCTGGCTCCAACTGACGAAAAGTAAGTGGTTTCTGCCTCCACATTGATGAAGTTCAGCATTGGCAGAGGATGCTGTTCATGACCATATATCCTCTGTGTTTCTCAGGGATGGCAACCTGCCAGATATCATTGTCAGCAGCAGTTTACATGAGTTTCTTGTGAACCTTCATGAGAAATATGGGCCACTGGTCTCCTTCTGGTTTGGAAGGCGTCTTGTTGTCAGCCTCGGCTCCATTGATCTCCTGAAACAACATATTAACCCCAACCGATTGTGTAAGTGTCTTTTATGTTGTCTTTTGTTCATTTGTCCATTTGTTCTGGCCTTGCTGGGAATCAAAGGAAGGGTGTCAAAGGAAGTCAGGGTTTTGTTCTACATTGAAAGAAAATGAGACTTGTATGTGACATGGTGGTTCAGGTATGACTTTGGTCCTTCTTACTGGACTTGAGTAGCAGTGACCAAGAGTTACTGCTACCCAGTGACCATCAAGAAATCAGTACACTTGTGTCTTTTACTGTCTCTCTGCAGGCAAACATCCAGGGAAAGCATCATGCTCATTAGTCACTTGATAGAGCAAGGTGAACATCCTGTAGCCACTTGACATACATTTTAAAAGCAGTTTGAAATGCAGTTTAGGAGGGTAAATGTCACTAAATTAAGTCTGAAAACAGCTCTGCTAGTTTGTGATAACTGCCTTGTATGGTTCATCATGGAGGTTTTTCAAACTATTATTTGGAGAAGTTCTTTACCTTTAATGTTTCTTTTGGTGCGTAGAATTTTGTGATGAAAACCTTTAATGGTCTTGGAAGTAGCTGGTGGTGCTGGTAGCTGAGCTGACTGTCTTAGTCATGGGAGAGTATTTAAATTTATGGCCTAAGCCTCTTAGGTGGGCATTTTGCTTCCTAAGGTTATCACGCTCAATAATTTAACTCAGTTGATTTTTGAGTTTGTTCTCTTGATTTCCCAGTTTTTATCTTACAAGGTTAACTGAGGTGCTGGGTGCATACCTCTGACCTGATCCTGTAGGTTGTCTTCAGGCAAAGGCAGATATCTCAGCTCACTTTATGCTGGGATTGGGAGGGGTGAGCTTCATGTACAGTTGCCTGACAGAATCAAAAAAAGAAATGGTGACAATCTGGGAAAGGAGTGGGAGTTAATGAGGATCAGCAAGACACAGTGGATAACGATGACACTCCAGAAGGTGGAAAACCACCCTGAAAGATCTGAATGCTCTCAAGTGTGTTTTGGGGGAAGTTAAGCAGACAGTCACTTTCTCAAAACTCAGAGAAGTGGTGACAGGCCCCTGCGCAGGCAAGTTATCATAAACATTCTGAATTTGTGAGGATCTGAGTATCGGAGAAAGAGAATCACAGTGCCTGGACTTAAGTGCAAGAAATTAGGTGACCCAGGCAGTTACAGACTAGCCTAGTATCCTGCTATGCCAAGAGCTAAACATACGTTTTTAAGGATGGGAGATAAGTGGGAAATGCACGTTGTACTTTGATAATTTGATTTTTAGACAAGGAAAGTGAGAGAACTGTGTTTATGTCAGGGATTCAGTTCAGAATTTACTTGGATATTGATAAAGACTGGTACTTGAAAGGGGGATCAAAGCTGGATTATCTTGGAAAAGTGAAATGCAGTGTTTGGTACATGAAATACTCCATCTTATGTTAGTGTCCTACCTTGGTGGCATTATTCTGGAACCCTTTGTCAGCACAAGGCAGCAGAGTGAGATGGATATCCCCGAGGGCTGGGATACCAGGGACAAGAACAGGAGGAGTAAAATTGGGCTGTGTGAATTGGGTGTGGGGTGACATGGCCATGGAAAAAGAAGGATACATTGAGTCATGGATTTTTTGTGAAGGGAGGACTTTTGCACAAAATGAGCATGATTCAGACCTGGAGTCCCTTGTGAGATTCTGACCTCTATACTCAGGCATGATTTTGAATAAAGAAAGTGCAAATAAAGGCTGCCAGTGCTCTCAGAGAAGTGGGGAGCCTGTCGTGCAGGAGAAGCCAAGGATGGAAAGCCCAGACGAAGAAAGAGCTTATGAGGGGATCCTCATAAAGGCAACAAGCTTGAGAAGGAGGGTTCTTAACGATCTCAGAGCTGGAAGAGCAGCAATGTTAGTTGTATCACAGCGTTCCTTTTAGCACTGATGCTTGCTAGAAGTGCTCAAACTTTATTAGAGGTGAGCAATCTTACAGGTTATATTTCCTGAAGCATTGAGGTATAAACAGTAGTAGCTGAGTAGCTGTAGCAAAGCCCTTCCTGTACCCTTTCTTGGTGAGTGGAAATAGGGGTTGTGGTAGGTCTCAGTGACAAACTGGCTCTGGACAGCTTGAAGTTTTATTGGAGATGTGGTCTTGCCCGTATCTCTTCTGTGCACACAGTGCTGTGGGACAGGAGACAGCCCACAGTGGACTGCTTTATATCCAGCTCCTCACTCTTCAGCCCCACGTGAAAACCCAAGCCATGTGACTCTTCCTCAGTCAGCTGGAGTGCCTGAGGCTACCATCTGTCTTCATGGATACCTGACATTTGGTTTCCAAGGCTGAGATACAGGATTTAGCTCCAAGTAACGTACAAAGGTTCCTCTCATCTCATCTGTGTGTCATATGTATAGCCAAACTTCTTGGAGACAGAGAGAGAAGTGCAGATAATGCATTTCTCATCAAAGCCTTGAAGCTGAACTAATTGGATTCATAGTTATAAACATTTCCAATGCCAGGAGACTCTTTTTCCTTAGGTTTCAAGCAGTGTTTGATATTGGTATGTTTTCATGGCCTCTTAAAGCTTGGTTGAGATTAATTAGCAAGGAGAATTCAAAGGAAGTAAAACTTTGTATCTGCTATTGCTGATTCCCCTGAGTGGCGCTGGGGAAGCAGTGCAGGCCTACAAACGATGTGGATGTGAAGAGGGTGGACTAATACAGGATTGCCAGGAGCAGTGGGTTCAGAGACCAACTTGGAAAACTCTCCTGAGTTGATGTTGCTTTTTGGGTTGGGACAATGAACGAGAAGCACACTGAATGCTGGAGATGGAACCATGGGTCCTGGTCTGTCTGAGCAGGACTTCATTGCTGTTCTGTGAGTATTTTAGTGTGCAGGTTCAGAGGTTCTTTCTATCTCTGATGTTTAGCTGTGCTCAATCTCAGTTAGATTTTTTTCTCTATATTTACTTGCAGTGGTGTCCAGGACAGCACTCTTGAGGTTTTTGGGGTGGGGAGATTTCTGTGTAAGTGAAAAGAACAGTTGAAATTTTGATATTTGTCACTAGGAGGGCTGAAAATGTAACCGTGGAGATGTTTTCTAGACAAGGACAAATGGTAAAGTCTGTGCAAGTGCTGGCTGAGTAGAGCTCTCTCCAGAGGCAGTGCCTTGTGGGGTCACTGGCCTCCCACAGCTGTGCAAAAATAGCCCTTGCCTGAGCAGCAGAGGCAGAGCCAGGCCTCAGCAAAAGGGCAGCCTGGGCTCTGCAGCCCTGAGTGCACAACAGTGAGGATGTACTGGTGGTGTGGGATTGCCAGTTCAGTCTAGGGACATTGGGAAAAAAACCCCCAGAGCCCATGGCTAGTCCAGCAGTTTTCTTTCATGTGCAGCATGAAGACTTTGCAGTTTCAGCAGGTGTTGCTTCTAAGCATCCTCCAGCCTCTCTAGATGCCTCTGCTTGCTGGATTTTCTGTGTGGGCTTTACCACCTGCCATGTGTCTTCCTGGCTACCCAGTATTGTGCCTGGCTGTGCCAGTGCCAGTCAGCAGGGATCTGTGGCATGAATAGCAGCTCCATGACGAAGTACCTTGGAGGAGGAATTGTCAGCAGCAGCTAGAGGCACATAACAGCCTCCACCACGTGGAGAGCCGTAGGTGCCATCTGCTCTTCCAAAAGACACATGCTCATGCTCCTTGTCATTCAGAGTGGGAAAGAGGGTGAGATGCAGAGCTTAAAAACATTGGGAGAGAAAAGATGTGAGAGAAAAACATTTGGGAAAGATTACCATATTCATGCCTCTGGCCTCGTTAGCTGCTTTTATGTCTTTAGGTAGTAAGTCCTGTGCAGGTGGGAATTTTCTCTTCGTGTAAGTTTGCCTAGTAGCATAATGAGACCCCAGTCTCCATGGGGAATCCTAGATACATCCACAGCTGGTAAAGTCATATGTGTCTAGCCCAGCCTTGATGTTTTCTGATGCCTTAGAGGTTTCACTCTCCATCTGGGAGAAATAACAGACTGTGATAAACAGTGACAATATCCTTCTTGAAAACCCTGATTGCTGCTTCCAGATAGTTCCTTAAAGACTCTGCCAGTTCCACAAGGCACGCTAAAAGGTTTACAGAAAGGGAAAAACATATGCCATGCTGTATTGCACAGTTTTGCATTGACACCTAATATCCTTTAACAAATTTATTAGAGGTCTTTGGTGATGAAATTCACAGTTAAAAATCTAACTGAAATGAGTCATGGATAGGGAAGTGATGTGGTTTTTTTTAGTTTGTACACTGATGCAAGTGTCTGTATGGAAGGATCAAAGATGAAAGAATGTGATTAGCAGTAGAAAGCATTCTGGAGCTTAGTGGGGTTTGTTTGCTGTAGGAGCTTCTAAGCTGGAGGCAGCCCTGGCAGACAGGTAGGTGCTAGTTTGGGAAGAGCTCCTCAGCAGGGAACTCAGTGCATGCAACAGAAATCATGCAGGAGCAGTAGGGTACCTAACAAGGTTTGCTGGGTCTGTGGCACAAGGGAAGGAGCGCAGAGAGCAACCTCTGGCTAAGTCTGTCGTGAGCTGGTATGTCCTGAGTGCATAGCCACATTCAGGCAGGAGGGCACACCAGATGTGAAGGGGAATGTGCTAAAGAGACTGCTGGTCAGGCTGGAGGAGAAGGGGAAGGACCATGCCACACACATTCTTGTCACCAAGTAGATGGCAGAACCAGCTGGGAACTGTCAAATGGGGAACAAGCTCTTGAAGGCACTGTTACTAAAGAGTTCCTTGGTAGAGCCAGCAGGCAAACTCTGCATGGGGAGCTGATTGCAGGATGGCAATCAGCCCCAGAAAAAGTGAGGTACCAGCTCACACTGAGCAGGAGAAACTTGACGCCCCAAAGAGACTGTTCCAGGGGAGGGAGCCACATCTTGCTCACTGCCCAGAAGTAGCAGTACCTGATTAAAGAGGCTGCTGTTTTCATCAGCCCTGTGCATTGTGACTTTTGAATGGTGTTTCCTCTGTTTGCTTTCAGTGGATCCCTTTGAGACAATGCTGAAATCCCTCTTGAGGTACCAGTCCAGCCTGAGTAGGGATACAGGAGAGAGCCACATGAGGAGAAAACTGTATGAGAACAGTGTGACCAAGTCCTTGCAAAGTAACTTTGCTCTCATCCAGAAGGTAACTGCCTTTGTACAGCAGAGAATCCCTGTGTGCTTCACAGGGGAAGTTTTAGTGAGAATCATCACTAGAGGACTTGCATTCAAATTAGTGCTGGAGCTATAAGCATCTGGGATAGCAAACAGCCTCTGCCTTTCATGGTGTGAATATCTGTGTTCTCTTAGCTCCAGTGGTTGGGAGAAGGGCTGAGCTTGCTGAATTTATATGCCAAGATACAAGATGCAGTTAAAGATACTGGAGTATCTGGATTCTAGATATATTTCTCAGGACACAAGGATCAAGCAAGGAACCAGCTTTTGGGGCCACAAAGAAGTGATGCTGATTTAGTCCAGCAGTCAGAATATGATCTGTTTTCCTATAGTGGCAGAGCGAACAAGAGAGGAGGGTAGGGTTGCCTTGTTGGGGGAAAGCCTTGAAAGAAGTAGAAGATTGAAGGCTAAAATGTTCCTGTTTAAACATGGAAAGAAACCTGGAAAGAGTTTAGTGTTATTCCATAGCCATGAAAGTGTGGTCTGCCTTAGGAAGTGGGTGGGAAATTGTCCAGGGTGTGTTTGGTAAATAGACTGCTGGTGTTACTGCTAACTAATGGTTCATTCCCTCTCAAGCTGTCAGAAGAGCTGCTGGCCAAATGGCTGTCTCTCCCTGAGGCACAACATGTGCCACTCTGCCAGCACATGCTGGGCTTTGCCATGAAGTCTGTCACACAGACAGCTATGGGCAGCAGCTTTGAAGATGACCGGGAAGTCATCCGATTCCGCAGGTACCATGATGCAGTAAGTGTCCTAAAGAGACATAAAAGCTCCTGTTAAATTTTTCCAAACTAAAAACACAGAGCTTGTATCTGTACAGTTTAGTACAAGCTACTGCTGCGACTTTAAAGTACAAGCTTGAGGACTCTGCCTCACTTGTCCCAAGCTGAAACAGAAAGATCCTCCTGCTGATCCTGCTGTCATTAGTCTGAGGTGTTTCTAAAGGATCCATGGGGATCAGGAACCCAGATCCAATGACAGCTGGGAGGTCTTTGGGACCTAAGTCAGTTAAACTTTGTTGGGACTGCCAGTGGAACTTCTCCCTTTCAAAGATCTTCTCAAGGCTCTCTGACATAGTGGAGAAAGGAAACTCTGAAGAGATCTCGCCTGTATCCACGTGTGGGGATGTTGAATATGTTTTTGATAGGGTGGGAAAGAAACAGTTCCTTCTCCAATTTAAGATTCCCATAGCTTTTCCCTACAGTTGTAATTGCAGTTGTTTAATTTCAGCTTAAATCCAGCTATCATAGACGTAGTGTCTGAAATGTGATGTGGTATCCTAAAGAAAAGACCAGTTCCATACTGACAGGAAGACTTAGTTTTATTTGATGTTTTAATTTTCCTGACTAGGGAAGACTAGAATAGTCCCAGCAGTCTCAGCCTGTGGTAAGTGATGGTACTGTTCTCTCTGTCTTTTTTCCAGATTTGGTCAGAGATTGGAAGAGGTTTCTTGGATGGGTCTCTTGACAAAAACATGACTAGGAAGAAGCACTATGAAGATGGTAGGTTTCTCCCAAAATTACAGTTTTCCTCCTACTGATTAATACTTAGGAGTTAGCTAGCATGTGAAAGCACTTCATTTGCCCAGTTGTTGTGGCTTTTCTTCAGAGCTGCTTCTCGTGCCATAAGCTACCAGATACATTGTACTTACTCTCACATTAGGTCATTGTTTTGGAGTTAAATGCAAGCGCAAGAAGTCACAGGACTAGAACTTTAGTTCCAGGTCTAGTTCTAGGGTCTGTCCAGTCTGGAGAGTGATAGAGGGGAAGAATCAGGGTGTGCTTCCTCCCTTCCTTTTCTGCTCCCTAGTGTCCACTTTTGACCTGTCTTGGAGGCAAGCAACTGTGCTAGGTGAGAGACTGCCAGACAGTCACTCACAGGCCGGAAGACACAAGTACAGAGGTGCTGCTTTGTTGGATACACCTTCCTGGACACATCATCAGATAGCCTCTGATGTGTTCTTACAAGATAACATGACTTTCAGGTCTGTTATAGCAGTACTTTTGTTTCTCATATATTTTATAGAAAGTTGTTTTAATTCTAGGTTGTCTTACTTAAACCATTTCAGTATTGATTGATAAGATACTAAACTAAAGTAGATTGTATCTGAAACTAAAGTTTTGCTTGTAAATCCTTCAAAGCCACTGTTTCCTTCTTTATACTTCTGATTCTGTGGGTTTCAGAACCTGAGCACAGCTTCTGTCCCGTTGAAATGGGTTCTTCTCATGGTCACTCTCTTCCTGAGTTGTAGTGTGATGATGCATGAGGACACAATTTCACAAACTCCAGATAGTGAGCCTTGGTGTTTGAGTGTTGCTGACCTTCCTATGCAGAGAGGAGAAAGGAAGGTAATTGTAAAACAAAGGAACTGAACTAGGCCTTGATAAATGGAGTTTCAGACCCAGCTTCTGCTCCATGTTTCTTGGATAGTCCTCAGCAGGTCATTTAAACTAGACAGGAAATGATGTCTAGATCCCTAACTCCCCCTGGTTCCCGCAGCAGTCACCAGGAGTTGGGGACTCACATATCTTCTGATATGTGGACTTTGTGCCAAAATCTTCCCACGTTCTCCTCCCATTCCTCTCTCTGTCTCTGCAGACTCTTTAGCACAGAGCCATCCTCTTGCCTGCAGAACCCCTGACCAAAGGGGCTCCATCAGTCCTGGTGCTGTGGTAGTTGTAGCTCTGCAGGTCATGTAACCAGAGCTGTGTGGCTCCTACATGTTTTTCTCAGGGCTGATGAAATACATTCTCTGATGGTTCGACAGCATTATTTATCTTCCCCTTACACGATTTCAGCTCACAGAGTATACACCTTGGTAATACCTGTAAGGATGGCTTTTTATAGGCAACCTGTGTTATTTGGTTCCTGCATTTTCAGCTAAATTGGGGGATACTGCCTTCCAAATTGACAGTAACATGTAACAGAGGCTGCTTCTGTAAGTGAGCCCAGCAGGGACAGCTGGTCTGAAAATCTGCTTGGAGAGACGGATTTGCTTCTCTGCAGCACCAGGATGACCAGGTTTTAAAATAAACATTTCTTTTTTCTTCCAAAGCTCTGGTGGAGATGGAATCCATCTTAAGGAAGGTTACAAAGGAGCGCCGAGGCAGATCATTCAACAGACATGTCTTTATTGACACCTTGCTGCAGGGGAGCCTGAGTGACCAGCAGGTCTGTGCAGCTGTTACCTCCTTACTCATAATGGAGTTTTGCCAGATGGGCGACTCATTACATTGTAGCCTTTGATTAATATAAGTTTTTGCATCTTAGCTTAGATTCTTTACCAATGCAGGGATTCTGGTTCATTTTTTCCACTCCTGCAATGCTTCATTGCATTAGACTTTGGTAGATTTCCTTGCCACTGCTTTGTAGCTATTTTTATAAACCAGAAATACGTTGATATTAAGCATGTCTCGTGCAATGCCTGTGGAAGTTCTACAGAGAGTTCAGTTTATGTCTTCTAGATGTATTTCCTGCTCTCTGCACTAAAGAGATTTAATGTGCTTGAGTGGAGAGTGTGCTGCTTCTTTTTTCTCTTTACAGTCTTATGAACTTCATTCCCTGAAGTAGATTTTCTTTCCTAGATTCTGGAAGATACAATGATTTTCTCTTTGGCAGGATGTGTAATCACCGCTAACTGTAAGTACAGTAACTGTAGGTAACTTCCCATCATTGCACTCAGCTGCCAAAACCTGTGTAATGACATGAGACTTACCCTAAGCTAATAAAAAATTGTATTCATCATTCTTTCTCCTGAGCTACAGACATATGGAAGCAGCTAATTTTTACATCAGACTGTTAACACAGCCCCACAGTTAGGGAGCTGAACCTAAGCTGGGTTTGACAACCTTTCTAGTCTTACAGTGAACCTTAGACTTCCTCCCCATTGCTTTTTGCTTGCATTCTTAACCCCAGCCAGCTGGTGCTAAATTTCAAAAAAACACCAAAATAAATAAGTCACAAATATAATGTTGTAAAATAGTTTCAGGCACACAGGAAGAAATTTAGAGTGCTAGCATGTGTTGGGGTGCTTTGAATTTCTGGAGGATAGGTGTGTTCCATGTATGGAGGACTTTTAAAGAAGCTACTCTGGGATTTATGCAAAGATTATGAAAAAAAACCCCAAACAAATAAAAATGCAAACTGAAGCTTTGTAAAATACTTTCTTATAAAGGGATGATTATCTGACCTTGTACCTCAGCCAGTGGGGCTGGGACTCCAAAGAAAACTGCCAAGATGCATCCAGGTGTTAAAAAATATGGGAAGTAAATCAGAAAACTATGGTAATAGTTTTTCCAGAGAATACCCTCTCCAGGTACTCCAGGAAGAATGTAATTTTCAGGGGCTTGAATCCACATGGATTCACAGAATCACAGAATATTCTGAGTTGGAAGGGACCCACAAGGATCATCAAGTCCAAGATTCCAGATCGTTCTCATGAATAGGCATTTTTGAGAGCTAGATGCATTTCCTTGTAGCTTTAGGGAAGCTGCATCCTACACACTTATTTCTTATGCAAGGTTTTTTTCTAACTCTGCTACTGAAGATAATCTCAAGTACCTCAAAAAATAGATGTGGGGGACAAGTGCTTGCCAACATCTGCAGAGAGCTCCCTTCAGGAGCCCCAGGCATTGGCTGGCTGGAGCACTTGCTTGAGATGTGCTAGGGAAGACCCCCAAATGAAGGAATTTTCTAAAGCTTTGAACAAACCAGCCTTTCATTTGAATGGTTGGTGTAATAGCCCTGATTCATCAGGGTTTGTTGGGCTGTGTGATCCATTTGCCAGAGCTATGGGGCTGAGTGCTTTAGTGTCCTGCACAGCTCCCTAAGCTCCTCAGAGCATCAGAAAGAGAATTTTAGCTTGCAGGGACTCTTGTTACACAGGAGTTCAGCCTCTGTTCCTACCACTGAATACAGAATCAGCACTGCCTGCTGTGAACAGAGGTGACCTTATTTTAGGCCATAAAGTAATGTTAAAAATACAAGAAGTAAGAAAACTGAATGCCATTTGTGAAGGATTGAATTTTCTGGGTCCAGTCTTGTCTTGATTCCTTCCCCAGTGTGTACCTGGGCAGTCTATTTCCTGACAACCTCAGAAGATGTTCAGCAGAATCTCTACAAGGAGATGGACCGTGTTCTGGGGAAGGGACCAATTACACTTGAGAAAATTGAGCAGCTCAGGTGGGTCCTATAGAAGGAATGCAGAGGAAGGCTGTGTCATGTGGTGGCTGTTTCATGTGGAGTCTGATGCCTAGCCTGCACTAGGCCAGGAGAAGGCATCCAAAAACTACTTACTCCATTTTTTCTTTCTGGAAGTGACCAAACCTCAGGATGACTTGCAGCACAGAGAGAATCTGCAGGCACTCCAGACACAGGGACCAAGGTGTTCACTGTAGGGTGTCTGTAGGAAACCCTTTAGGTTCATCAGCAGAGGAAAGGACAGAATCAGTGCCCTTGGCTGCCAGGCCAAAATTTTTGCTCACTGTCTTGTTTGGTTTCAATACTGGTTTTCCAGAAGTAGTAGAGGTAATCAGTCATCTTCACGGTAGGATATAGAGATATTTAGAGAGAAATTATGAACCAATCTACTTCTCAAAGGGCTGCAAGTAATGATGACTGGTCAGCAGTCCATGTTTTGGTCATGACATGGTCAGCAGTTTATGTTTTCTGCATTTGTTATGTTGGTGCAACCAGGTGCATTTTGTATTTGGACTAGTGTTAGGGTTTCAGTAAAGGAATATTGAGAGAGTGGTTTTCTTGCTGCTTCTTTTGTGAGTGAAAGGTACAGGAAAAGGCTGGTGTGTTTATGCATTTTAGCAGATTTAGTTTGGTTTAAAATCTGAAAGAAGAGGGATTCCAATAACCTTCTGTAAAAGCTGTTAATGAGACTTAATGCTTCTTGCAAAGATGTTGAGACTCCTTGTCAGAAAAAAAAAAAGAAGTGCCTCTAAATACAGCAGTTGACTCCACTCTGTTTGCTGCCACAAAGATGTGGACAAGCTTCTCTCTGAGAATTACACTAACCAAGGGTTGCTGGTTGCAGGTACTGTCGGCAAGTCTTGTGTGAGACAGTGCGGACAGCAAAGCTCACCCCCATTGCTGCACAGCTGCAGGAGCTGGAGGGCAGAGTCGACCAACATACTATCCCCAAAGAGGTAGGGCAGTGCTGGGAGCACTAGGCCACTCTCCTTTCCTGTAGGGGAATTTTCTGTTCCTTCTTCTTCCATACCAGGAGAGAGGCAGGAGGACCATTTCTTTTGACAGTGTTGAACCTGAACAGGTGCTCGGTCATCTGAAAGTACAGTTTAGCTTAAAGTTTGCCTGCAGTTCATCTGTGGGAGAAGTTCTGCAAATTCATGTTCTCTTGCTGAGCAGATTTGCTTCTGGCTCCACCAGGGATGAGTAAGCTTTTGAAGGGGCCTGTGGGCTCAGTTATGCATAAAAGAGCATTGTTCCAGGCTTCATCACATCACTCATCATATCACCTTCCCTTCCAGAGACTAAAGTAGTCCCTAAATACATCTCAGCAAGCATAGAGAAATGGGGTCACACCCTCTATTACCACCAACAATTGTAGCGTGATTCTTAGAAGTTAAAATCCTAACATCTGGGCATGGATTATGAAAATCTGTAGATGAATACTGCATAATTGTCTAAATAGGAGTAGTCTACAGAATAATCATCATCCACTGTCGAGAGGTGTTTTCAATTGTGCATTTCCTTCCACATTGATGTGTTGTAATTCTCTTTGCAGACACTTGTGCTTTATGCTCTTGGTGTGATGCTGCAGGATAGTTCATCTTGGCCATCACCATACAAGTATGTAGAATCGACTTTAATTGCAACTAATTCCTTTGCTTTGTTAAATTAGATCTTACAGCACAGCCTTTTGTGCTCCAGGGCCTGCCTTAGGCAGATTCTGGAGATGAAAGAGACTCTGTAAGAAAATCAGTTTATGAAGGTCTGGGTTTGTTTGTCTCTGTGGGCATGGTTTTGGGGCAATTAAAGTCCAGTTCCTTCGATGCTTCAGTCTGTGTGCATGTATGTGTTAGGGTTTAATAAAAACTTCTTTGTGCTTATACAGAGCTTCCCTGGCAAGTGCTGGTAACTTCTGTTGAAGGTTTTCTGTGAAACAGTGGCTTGAATGGCTTGTCATCATGAAACAATATGCAAGGGAGGAGATGTCAGTCTAAAGTTGTGGGTTTTTAGGGTGAAGGGAAATGCTACCTCAGTATTTTGGTCTGTCTGTGAAAACTGAAGTGGATCTAGGCCAGTGTTTTGGAGGTTAAAGAATAAAGTCGCTGTAGCTTCCTGTGGTCTCCAGGTGGCAAATATTAACCTGTGTCTGATTGACTTCACTTGGGCTGCAAAAAATGTGGGTCAGTTATTCTAGACAGAGAGAACAGACAGCTGAGATTTAGGAGAAAGAATAGAGCCTTTAAAACAGCACTTGTCCTCTCCTGCAATAACACTTTTTACAAAGGGGTCAGGGATTGAGGCAGCAGTCTATGAGCACCTTGACAGGGATTGCCTCCCAAGGTAGGTCATGACTGCATTCAGGTTTGCTGAGGTCCCATGGGACTGACAGTGAGGACTGCTATGAACATTGTATGTTTGTTTCAGGAAGGCTGGAGTTGAGGTTTAGCTTGAGGTAGATGAAGATTTCCATGACAGAAGTAGGAGACCAGCTCTGTGTGATCCTTTCACCCACCTACTACACAAAACCACTGTTTGCCCCCCCTGCTTTTTTGCTAGGCAGCTGCATTTTCTCTCTATTACAAAATCTGTGATTTTCACTTTAGTTCAGGGGAAGTCTTAGTTTGATACTGCTTTTCCTAAGGATCAGCACCCACATGCCCTTTCACCTTGTTAGAAGCAGAGCTTGGATGTCTAAACAGGGAACTAAAGGCTTGAAGAATTTATCAGAAAGGTTTAAGAGAACCATCTTCTGTCCACCAAATTTCGTGTTTAGATGGGGGTTAATATTGAAATTGAATGTTATTTTATTAGTTTCCCTTGTTTTAACTCATGCCAGCCCTGGATAATAGTTTCCTCACAGCCTTTACCATCCTAAAGCTGGAAACTGCTTTTCTCACTTGAATGAGTCACTGGCTTCTCTCCCCCAGCACATACACATACACACACCAGCTGCTTGAAGAGAAGGGTGAGGGGCAGGGAGAAAAGGGAAGTATTTTTGGAAGTGAAAAAGGAGGGGGCTCGGAGGGGCAGAGAGAGAGGGAGAGACAAATGAGATTGTGTGTGCCCTGGAATCGAATAGAGGGCAGGTAACAGCATCAGCTCAGCTGTGTACTGAACATTAGTTCCAGCCCTGTATCACACTACCTCAGTTTGTCAGCATTTTTGACCAAGATGGGACACAGCTGACCAGCTGGAAATGTTGATGGAATGGATGCACAATTGCCTTCATACATTTGTGTGGAATGACCCAGAGAGAACAAACTAGTGAGATTGTCTGTTTCATTTCCAGTTTTTTACTTGTGTGCGTGTATGCATGTTTCTGGGGAAAGGATGCTGTGCCTGCTCAGAAAACCCTAATGTGTTCCGTCTTTTATAGGTTTGACCCAGACAGATTCAATGAGGAATTAGCCATGAAAAACCTCTCCTTGTTGGGTTTCTCAGGAAGCCAGGAGTGCCCAGAGTTGAGGTGAGCATAGGGAAGGAGGTCTTAGTGAGTCTCTGTGGCAGACAGGAGAGAAGGTGCTTCCAGCATCTCGGTGTTACTTCTGGGACTACCTGTCAAAGCTGGCTGTTGTCCTTTGGCAAATTTACATCTTAGCAAGGTTTTTATTCTTTTCTCCTGATTCTTTCCTTAGGTTTGCCTATATGGTGGCCACAGTTCTGCTGAGTGTCCTGGTAAGGAAACTATATCTCCACCCAGTGAAAGGACAAGTCATGGAGGCAAAATACGAACTGGTAACCTCACCAAAGGAGGAAGCCTGGATAACGGTGTCTAAGAGGAGCTAAGAGAATACAGAACAAGGGGTTAAAAGTGACAGCAGTGAAGTTCTGAGTAAGGGTCTTAATGAGAATCATACTGGCACCATGTTTATTCAGCCAAGGAATTTTATATCCAGATTTTTTTACCTTCCATATTCTTAACCTCATGCCTATGGGTACTTTCTCTAATTTAACCATTAGTAATATTAAAGTAGATTTAATCTACATGTCTTTTTTATATTTGCTTTTGGATCTCTGGTCAAACCTTTGCAAGGAAGCAACAAAATCTTGCAGTGGTATATGTATGAACTAATGTTCAACTAGTCAAGGACCAGAGCTCTGGTTAACCCAGCCTCTTTCCAATAGCAGCCAGAGCTGGGTAAGAGTGCCCCTCTTATCCAGTGGAATTCTTCCTGAATCCTAGCTAAATAAGACCTTGAAGACACAAGGACAAAGCCTTTCTCTATATATAGGTATTTTTATTCAAAGTGTCTTTCCCTCCCTTGAGCTATATCTGTCAGGAAGAGCAGATATATCCTGTGAGAAGTATGTGTGAGTGTGAGAAAGAGAGAAATAAAGTGGGGTGGGAATAGCACCACTAGTTCTCATGCTATGTAATCTTGCTGTGCTGTGGGGTTGCAAGAAAAAGAATGACTGAGAAATGCTAGTAAACCAAGAGGAATAAAATTGGTTTGGCCCCTGAGAAAACAGAAGCATCAGTAATAATATAATGAAATGAAATAAAACCGCAGAGCAAAGCCCCAAGAAAGGGAGTCTATCCTGACAATTCTGAGGGCAGTGTCTAATCTAATCAACATCAGAAATCGACAGATGCTTGCAATTTATTCAGCACTGGGTCAGTATGAGACTGGTTATGCAAATACTGGAGAGTGCTGATTTCATAGGGCTCCAGATTAATGTTGTACTTAATAACCTAAAAGCCTTTCAAAGAATCCTCTTCCTTCTCCAAAATGTATGCTTGCCAAAGAAGCATCAGATGCTGCATGTTCACATGCTTTTTCCTGCTTCTTCCTTTCTTTTTTGCCAATCATAGGATAGCTCCATTCAGAGCCCCACTGAATGGTTTGCAAGGCAGGAGCCTCCTACCCCATCATCACATTGGAGTAATTGCCATCTGACTTACTGTTCACATTCTGGTTCTTCCTTTTTTTCTCTTACATTTCTCTCTTTATCTGATCTTTATAAGCCTTTTCTCCATACACCTGACTTCTCTTTTTTTTCCAGTTCCTAGCCCCCCTCCCCAGCCAGCAGCTGTGTGGTGGTAGGTGAGGGGTTTCTCAGCCTGCAGCTGTGTCTGCTTAAGCCATACACAGCTGCCTGTGCACCACAAAGCAGGCCAAGAGTGTGTGCCTCCCATTAGAGCTGCTTTTATTGCTTGCGGAGACAGAGTACTCTGCAGTTGGTAACTGCAGTTCTTACTTCTACAGATGTTGGTATTTTCGCCGGTACCTTCCAGGTCAGGAAATCCGCTGCTTGTTTAAAGATGTTTTTGCTCTTGTCTGAGGTGTGCTAGCCTGAATGCAATCCTGTCAGCTCTTACAGGGTTAACAGCTGATGCCATCCTCTGTGGGCACCAGACAAAGACAATTCTGCTCTTGGCTTTAACATGTCAGATCTGCTTTTGGTGGAGCTGTGGAGATTCAGATGCCCCCCAGTGTAGCTTCTGTTGGGGAAGAGTGATACAGAGATGTTAGGCAGAAAAAGGAGAGTTGTGCGGTTCAGCTTCCTGTCTTTCTTGCATTGATTTTTATAATGAACTGCAAGAAAGCTCTTGCTAATCTGACCTCCACTTCACTGAAGGTTGGTCATGTCCCCAGATGGCAATTCATGTTAGCTTTTGCTTCACTGCTTATGCAAAAACGCCTATTTTTCTTGAAGGTTGCAGATGTTTCCCAAACCTTCTGGAAAAATCAGCATGGTAAAGAATTTAATTTTAAAACATTCCTGGATGTGCAGAGGAGGCAAAACAAAGACTAAGTTATTGCCTTCTCTGGAAAATATGGTGGGATAGCATTGTCCCTGCTAGGAACAGGACAGGGAATATAATTGGGTGATGAAGACCTGCTTTAGGAGTGACACTTTCAAACACTAGGAAAGCTTCCCAAGTGTAATTGTCCAGATTTCTGTTACAGCATTTCTCTGCCTTGCTGGAGCTGATCAAACTGCCTTGCAACAGCCCCTTCCCCAGTTACAGTAATCAAAACCAGGAGTGATTCCATATAATTTGTTATGAATTTTCCATTAGCCTGCACCCATAGGCTGTGCTCAGTCTGGACCAGTGATCAAGCCTGCTACAGGAGTCCATGACTGATACAGGAGAAGAATGTGGCTCAGTGTGCTGGAGAAAGCCAATGATCAGTTTGTGTTTGCTCAAAACTGCTGTCAAAAAAACACCCTGACTTATCAGTTAAGGAAATGTGTTGAGCATGGAGGGAAAGGAGGGGGGTAAGGCACTTTCAGGCATTTGTAATGCAGTGCTGGGAGTGACACTGAGGTCACAGCCACATTGTTTGCTGAAGTCTCTAGGTTTCCGTTCCTTGCTCTATGTGTGTCTGTCACTTCAGACAGCCCAACTATGGCAGTTTAGTGCAACACTCATCAGCCCAACCATGGATCCTTGTGCAGCAAAGTCCTTTTTTTTTTGTATGGGAATGTTCATGGAAGAAGAGCTTTCTTGGGAAGTTTTAATCTGTTTTGATTTGAAGATTGACATATCAGCTTTCTCCCATTTCTGCCCTCACCCCTTGTCTGGCATGCACTAGTTCTTGCTGTGCCTGCTTTCCTAAGGAGGACTTGTATTCATAGAGTGTGTCCCCTTCCCACTAACTTCTGGCCAATTTCCCCTTTCTCTTACAAGAACTAACTTCTGAGCCCTAGGGCCACACCAGCTGCATTTGATAGGGATTTAAATTTTCTACACTGTTGTGTTCCTGCAGATTTTGTGAGGAGAGGAGATGACTGGGATGGGGGTCTATGCTAGCCATGTCACAAGATTGTGGGCACAGCACTGTTGATGCCAGCCCAGAGAAAAGCCTGAGTCAGTGCCTGCAGTGATGGAGGTAACCAGTCTCAGGAGCCCACTCAATAGAGCACAGGGGTTTGTCAGTGCTGCCCAGACCCACAGACATGTATAAAGTCCAGAGATGCCTTCTGCCTGTTGTGTGGGGATATGGGCAAGCATTGCAACCCATGCAAAGAAATGTCTTAGTCTAGGAAGAAAGCCAAGAGGGGGAGGTTGCTTCTAGAATATAGGGAATTGTTGCTTTTTATGCTTCATATTCCTGCTCTACAACAGCAAGCTGCTTTACGAATTTGACAGGATGGTTTTGAAAAGCACACAGAAAAGCTGTCATTTCATTCCTTAGACTCTTTCTGTAGGACAAGTTTCTATAGAGAGCTGCAAACTCTTGAAAGTTAAGAGCCCAAGTGTATCTGTGTGCCTGTGCAACCTGCTGCCCTCAGAAGCAGGCAGCCAGCACAGGTAGTGGGAGCAGCCAGGCCATTGCTAATGCTCTTTATGACTGGCAAAGCCTTTTACTTTTGCCCCTTTGTCCTGGTGGCAGCTGGGAGGCAGTTGTTAGCAACTTTGAGCAGAGCAGACAGTTTACTGATCTAGCCTCTCATTGCCTCCAAAATACCCATGAATGCCATTATCTCTACATTTTAATTAACATGAGCTACATACAGAAGCACCATTGCAAATTAATATACTGTTAATAATAGTAATATCCTTCTGTTCCCAGCAGTTTAAGGACTTGCTGGCAGTGGCTGTGGCATGCACCACAGAGTTTAGGGCTGCATGTTTTATTTTCCATTGTTACATAGAAAGGATGGTCTTGGCAATTTCTGTCCTACTTGCTGCAAAAGTAAATGTTGGTTATAGGGCAGGGTGGATGTTTCTGATTTGAAGTCCCTTGGACAGCTGTTTTGCCAGTTCCCCAACAGCTGTGCGGTTACATGAACTTGGGGCTGTTGGCAGTCCAAATTGGGAAAACACTCTCTCACCTGCATAGTCAATTATTGACTTCCTTTTTGTGCTCAGATTGTCTTGTGGCTTTGGGACAAAAGGAATGTGGTACATACTTTCCTGAATACCTTCAGGAAAAAAAGGAAAATCTTGATTACTTAAGGGTTATGCTACCAGGAAGTTAAACTGTTTTAATGACCATGGCAGCTCCTGTTCTTTCCACTTGTCCAAAGCAAGAACTTACGCTAGAAAATATTCCAGGCATTTCTCTGGAGCCTGAGAGAACCCATCTTGACATCTCTTTGTTGTTAAGCTTGGGAGTGGGTTTTAGCAATGACTTTTCAACTAAACAAAAGGCCTGTTTGACATCTCTTAGAATTCAATGCCAGGGTTTTGGTGGTAGCAGACAGAGAAGAGGAACTACCACATGCAGGAAAAAGAAAGACGAAGAAAATGTTCTTCACATATGGAGGGTGGGGAAGAAGACACGGTAAAGGTTTCCATAGCAACATTCCTTGAAGAGAAGTATTTTTAAATCTGTGAATTTTAGCATCAGAAACACAGTTGTGTTTCCCACAAAAAGATTTGGGGGAGGGCTGGAGTGGAAAGAATTTTTCCCCCTACTTTTCAGGTCATTCTAGTTTCTTTCACTGAGGAGCCTGCTCCCAAGATAAATGAAGTATGTGTGATTTCTATGATCTTAATGCTCCTGTAAGAAATCCTGCTTCCAGGAGCAGGAAGCATCAGTCATAGTTCTATATCTGCTCCAACATCTTTGGTGCAAGCACTTGATCATCTCTTTAATGGGAAAAGTAGTTCAAATAAATCAATGCTAGACAACTTAAAAGTCACAAGGACAAATCTTGTAGGATTTTACATTAAAACTAGTGTAACTTGGCAAAAAATCTTAATTTTAATTGATGCACAGTTAAGTGATAGTAGTTGTGATGAGGTAGCTGAGGCCTTTTGCCTTGGCCAGAGGAGAGGATGCAGAGCTGAAAGAGCAGAGAAACCAGCTAAAAGATGTCCCTGGTGAGCATCTTGGTTACTTTGATGAGAGTGAAACATGCCTGTAGTTGGACAAGTGATGCTCCAGTGACACACAGAATGCTTGCTCTTGCTATGGGGGTGTCAGTGCTGGGGCCACCTCTGAACCTCTCTGAAGCTTCTCTGCTCCAGTCTCTGCAGTGCAGAGCAACTCACGGGCATTGGCACGCTCTGCTCCCACCTCCCTGCTGGCATCCAGGCAGGTCAGTTCTGTCACGAGCCTGGCACATCCAATGCTGTGCCTGCTTGGCTGCTAACTTTGAAGTCTCACCAAAAAAGGCTTCTTTTTTTTTTTTTAAACAGTTGCTTCCAATTCAGTGGTGACTCAGACACTGCAGCAAGGATAAAGTGATCATCTTCCCCTTCAGAGCTTTACAGCAGAAGGCCCTGAGTATCCTCTCTAAAAGAGGTCTTGGTGAGCCCAGCCATCAGCTGGATTCAGTTCTTTAATTTAACTGATGGAAAAAGATACTCCAGCAGTGCTGTGTACCTGCTAGCTCAGAGCCCGTGTTTCAACAATAGACTAAATGATTCCTAAAGTACTTTGTATTCAGAAACCCTGGGGAGGGGAGGCTGGGAGGGAATGAATAGTCATACAGAAAACAGAAGGGACGATTCACCCATTAAGACTTTTTTCCTGACCTTAGGGGGAAAGAGAGGATGCAGATAACGGTGTCTAAAAAAGCAAAATTCATACTGTCAAAAGTGTGGAAATGGGTGCTTGGCAGCATTGTTTCATATTGGCCAAGACCTGATACAGAATAAGCAAGGCTCAGATCTAAGAGACTAAGATCAACTTCCCTACATCTTCACTGATAGAACCTACCAGCAGCAGGTGCTTGGGGAGGAGTAGAGTGAGCCATGAGAGTCAACAGGAGCTGACAGGGATGCCTGCAAGAATGCATCATAGCATATCATGGGAAACCAATGGTTGCAGCCACCCCACATTCATTGATAAGTGAGATATTTGGGAGCAGAGAGAGCACTTTGTTCTTCTGGTATGCAGAATTCATACTGAATTTGACAGACCCTGCACCTGGATTTGATGTACTGTTCTAAAGGAGGAAGCAGATTGATTGGTTGTTAACAGAATGCTCTAAATTAACCTCAGCCATGGGCTTGGTTCTGCAGTCCTTTGCATGACTATTATTTATGCTGTACAATTGCATTGAATACCACTGACTGTCCAGTATGTTGGTCTGGCACAGCTGCACTGAAATTCTAGTTGTGGCTTTCTACTGTTGGAACCCAAGTTTTTGGATCCGCTTGGATACTTGGATTTTGAATACTCCCGAACAGTCAAGGACCTACTTGACTAAACACCTAGATGTCTTCACAAGTCTAGTATTGCCATAATGCAAAGAAAAAAGGAAATTATACGGGAGTTGTCTGGCCTCTGTTTTCATATCCCAGCAGTGATAAGCAGGTAGAGTCTGTTGCTGTATATACACTGTAGTACACAGTGAATGCCTTTTTTGCTTGAGGAAGCTTGATGGTGATTTTTACATAGTAAAGATGAAAATACTGCAAGCATACATCATGCTTTAGCCTTTATATATTTTATAGCTGTACTGTTCCAGTGTGGAAAACTGAGCTGAGCAATCACATTTTCTCAATTACCTTCAAGAACTGGAAATCCTTATCACCTCTGTGTTTGTTTCTCCCACTGCTGCACTGGTCTTCAAATTGTCACCAGAGCTAAAAATCTTCATGCTGTAAATTAAACTGTGATTTCAAAAAATTTTACAGTACAGTCTCCTCATAAAACTCCACAAGTCTTTTTCTGATGTGACTCACTCAATTACTCATGTGGGCAGACGTTCAGATAATAAAAGTGGTTAATGGAAAGCTGTGAGAAATACTGCTGGATTCTGAGGAGGCAGCCAGGGGGAATGTACTGTGGGTATTTTATCCTGAGAGCTGCTGAATTCACTGAGCTCCCAGCCATTTTTTTAAGATAAAGATTTCTCCATTCTGCTTTTTCCTTTGTATGAAAACAGCTTGAAATATCAGATTGGCAACAAAGAAGCAAAAGCGCACCAGCTGTATGTGTTTGCTCTTCTGCTCCTCTTCCTACATATTAGAGATGATAGCTCGTCTGTGCCCTGAAATAATCCCTTTATCCTAGTGATGTACACACCTAAACAACAGTATTCTAATGAGCTGTGGATTTCTGAATCAAGGAGCACAACTAACAAGTTGTTAGGCTAAAAAACCTCTTTCACTGGAAGTGCCATGTATACTGACAAGGATTAGATTTTTCTGGAATTAATAAAATTAAGAGATTTGGCCTTGAGATTTGGTGTGCAATAGGTCAGGAAATACATCTAGAAAACAGGTTTCAGTGACATCTCAGTGAGTGCACATTAGAGGAATATGGCACCTTTTGACATTGGTGAGGCAGAAGGGAGCAGAAAAGTGGTAAGGTACCACTTGGATATGAGAGCTCCACTACCTGATGAAATTATACGTGTGTGATGGCTTCAAAGAGACTTAGAATTAAGGCAAACTGGAACTAGTGTTAGTGGATGAACTGATTATAGAGCTAAGGGCTCGCTGGCATTTGCAAAAATTAATTCTTGGTTGTGTGGCTCTGAGGCTGCTAGATTTTTGGGGGATGTGCTACTGCAGTTGCTGTGTGAGCCCATTCCAACAATGCTGGATATAGAAAGAGAGAGGACTTGAAGATCTGCTCATTTTTGATATGAGCTGGGAGGGAGACTATGGTTTGACTTGTAAAACAGAGCTTCTGGCACAGAGAAGCAGTGCATGGATGTTGAGGCTCTGGACCAGAGAAAGTAAGCTGTCAGATTATATTTAGCAACTACTTGCTGCAGGAAAGCACAGAGAGGGAAGAAGGGGAACGATTGCATAGCTGAGCACCATGGGTAGTGAGCACACAGAGCAGGGAATGAGGCTGTTAAGAGAGGATGAATTGCCTTGGTGTTCCTGATTCAAATAAATCTCTATGTGAGGCCAGGTATCTGCACAGATGTGTATGCTTACTTTGATTACCAGAGCTCAGCTTTATTTATCCATCAGTAATACCCCAGACTTCCATTAGGTGAAGAGTGACCAGCCTGTGGCCTTCCAGTTATTCCCCTCTGCCCTCACCCTAGGGATGTCTCCTGCAGCAATCCCAGTCCTAACTGGGGAAGCAGTAGTCTCAGAGGGGCTCTTGAAACCAATGTCCTAAGGTGCTGTACAGCCCAGTTGCACACCCAGCTCAGTCCTAACCCACTAGAATCTTGTTAGCTAAGGCTGTCATCTGCAAAATAGGTTAGGTTACCCTGCTCCATTTGAATTCAGGGATGTGAATCCTCCATTATGTTTTCTGAAAAGCCCAATCCTAAATAGATAAAGATGGAAAAAAAATTTCTTACACCTGTGTGGGACAGATCAAACCTTGCATGCTGACACATGGCAGCTGATCATTTGAGTCGTATCATATACTCCAGGGTGCAGAGATTGTAACTTTGACTAGTTTACAGCAGGATGGGCACAGCATAGGTTCTTAACTCGTTCCTGCTAAAAGCTCACTTGTATGATTCAGAGATGCTTTTGCCTTTGAAATAAATAAAGCCTTTAAGCTCCCTCTCAGAGGAGACGTGTGGGGAGGCCTGGCTGCCTTCTGTGCATAAATATTTCTGTCAAACTGGGTTCAGACTCAGGTGGGTGAAACGACTGCGCCCATGGGGAGCCATCAGTCTCCACCTCCTGTTAGGCAGTACTGCATCACTGAGATTTGTGTTGTTACCATACTGTCAAAATTAGCTGTGGGTGAGAGAAAGGGCTGAAATCCTCCTGTATGTTCACCAAACAGGAGGACAGAGCAGCTGGAGGAGGAGGGAGATGCAGACAGTAGTAGTGAAGAGAAGCTGTGCAAGGAGAGGCTGCCTTCACAGCCTTTGGAAAGGGGATTGCTTGTCCAGGTGTGTGATAGAAGGAGGAAAGATGACTTCAAAGATGTGATTAATTATGCTTCCTCTGCAAGGGAGAGTTACGCTAGTTACAGAAACAACACACATTAGGTTTGGTGGCTCCTAAGCATATGCAAAGTCATAAAATACTTTTAAAGTGGTTTATGTGGCAAAAGCAGGATTACAAACAGAACAGGATTAGAAAAGCTTCAGGGTACAAGTTCCTGGAGTTATGCGAGTACCTAAAAATCTGAACTTTTAATTTCAGGAAGAAACAAAGACTTCAAAGAATGGTTCTGACTGTTGCAGCTGCTGCAGATCAAACTTGAAAATGTGAAAAAAGCATCAGTAGGTCAGTAACAGTGAGACAGAATCAATAGTTCAGAGAGGATGAATTTTTGTATGTGCTGTACTGGAGCGTTAACTACCCTTCAGCAGCTCAGTGGCCGTATCAGACCTTACCTGGGGGATGCCACAGGGTCAGGACAGAGTGGAAAAGAACTGGCAGTTGGTCTGGGTTAGCAGCTTAGAGAAGGAATACCAGCAGGAAAAACAAATTAGTGCTGTTCTTTCCTCCCCTATTCCCTGAATGCTTGTCGTTTGAACCCTTGGAAGGAAACTGATGAGCAACTATGCTTTGTGCTGGCCTCTCTTTGAGGCCATTTGTTGCTTGTTTTCTTTTAAAGTCTGAAATGTTAGAAAAAGATAATTATTTTTCCTATTTGACTTGACCTCTTGCTTCCTGGGAGTGTACCTCCCCTTGTACTGGCTCTGTCCTCACACAGTGCTCTGTTGAAAGAAAGTTCAGCAGAAAACTAGAAAAAAGCTTGGGATTTGGAACAAGACGTGCCCTCAAACAGACGGTCTGAATCTCTGCAACATGTCCTGTTCCACTCTGGAGGTGCTGTGAGGTATCAGTTGTCAGTCATGCACTAGGTGGTTCTGAAATAGCAATGTTAGGGAAAACACTTCCATGAGTTGGAAGCTGCTCCATCAGTCACCTCTCCTACCTTTGTGAAGCAAGCCTTTTACCCAGCTGCAGTTTCTCATAAGCAGAGAGGTTATCTGTGGCTATAATCTTGATTGCCCAGCAAATTGCTGAATGCCTGAGGAAGCAGGAGGAGAATGTGCAGCTTCAGGGTGTGTGGGTTTTTCAATCTGGTTTACAGTGAGCACTGGAGGTTGAGTGTTTAAGATGCCTCTGGATCCTGACACCAATTGTTGCAGTATTAGACAGCTGCATTCTGTGCTGGGAGGCCACCCCAGCATTCTGGAATAGCCCTGGGAGTTAAATAAACTGCTGTTTGCTTCAGAAGCTTTGGATTATGAGGCCGGCAAAGAGTGGCTATCCAAGCAGAGGCAGACCCAAACACTGTGTGAGGCAAGCGTGAAGACTGTGTCTCTGTTGGGGGAGTGAAGGTACATACTTCAGTTACAGACTATTTTCTTCAATTGCCCAATTTTCCTTCCCTCCCTCATCCCTCCAGTAAATGCTACCTTCCTCCTAAAGGGCATGGACCTATATATCATCAGTACACATGACCAAAACTTTGGTGCCAGAGTCCTTTGTCCTTTATCCAGCTGCAAATCTGCTCAGCTCCATGTGATGCAGTAGCACAGGGATTTTCAGCTTTTGTTCTGCTGTTTACAAAGAGTGAAAAAGATAAAAGGAAAAATGTTCATAAAACTAGTGCACAGTTATATAAAGAAGTGAACTGAAAACCTGCAGCAGGATCTGTCCGAGATCTGACCTGGTCATCTCTCCAAAGAGGATGTTTACTTGCACCCCTTATGTGATGTCTGTACTGTTCAGTTCTCTGTAAAACAACAAAAATGAAAGAGACTTTGATTGTGATTTCTTACTGTGTGCAAAACATAGGTGGCCTTTGAGGTACCCCATTATTACTTTTCTCTAATAAAGAATTGATGATTCAAACTGTACATGTGGGACACCCAAGCAGAGTGCCCAGTTGCAGGATTGCATATAACCAATGGGTTGGCTCATCTGTGCAAGTTTTTGTGAGGAGGGGACTCCCTTGAATGATTGGCAGAGGTAAAAACATGACATGTGAGAGAACTTGGAAGAATAGTGGCCTCCATATGCTTTGGGATCTTGACCTCCAACTTAAAGTCTCTGGACTGCTTGCCTTTCTATTTTTTGGTGGCTGTTTGAACAGTACCTTTAGGTGAAAAATGTGTTTGCTTCTCAGTCTTGAAGATATTGATATAAGGGAAAATCTTGCACAAAAGGATTAGAAAAAACTGGAGAAGTGAAAGCTTGTAATAAATTCGGGCTGAGGGAATATAAAAACGTAAAATTAGTTTAGCACATCACTTGACAGATGGGAAGTAATTTATGTAAAATTAGGGTAGTGGTAGTTTGATTCAGTTGATCTAATTTAAACACTATGTCTAATTATTTTTTTGTATGTATACAGAGGATTATAGAATGGCCATTATCCTGACAGAAGGGCTCTTCAGGTTTAAATTTAAATCCATAAATAAGTACCCTATTAAAATGTAAACATGCTGTGATAACAAGCACCTGATTATGCAGACAGGTTAGTCCAGCTACTCTGGTGAACAGCTGTGTGCATGTGTTTCAGATAATGCTTTTTCTTATGCCTTAAGAACCATAGGCCGAGCCCTTGAGAGGTCAAGAGGTGCCTGACCCACAGGTGGGAGCTGCCTGTATGGAGGTTTCCTGATGCTGAGTGCAGATCTGAGAGCAGATGGGCTCTCACAGGTTTCCACCGGAAGCAGGCCTGGTGGCACGCAAGGGCACAGAGAGAAGATGACACAATTCCCCCTCCCTACACTCTGGTGCTGCTAATCCAAGTTTAAACTCCTAGCAGCATCTTTGGACAACCTTCTCTTTTACATTTTGACAGCTCTCTCCTTCTGCCAAGAGAAAGATCATGTAGGTTTACTGGGGAGCTGCCAAATGACAGCTTGACTTCACACCTGAGAAGCAAATGAATGAGGAGAGAAGGAAAGCCTCAGCCTGCCTCCAGCCTGGCACAAACACAAAGAGTCTTGGAAGCCTGGGCATGAGCAACCCCTGGAGCTGCAACAGCAGCAGCAGATGTGACATGAGCAGAATCCAAGCTGAAGCTACAGTGGAGGAGGGAGCATGGGGCCTGTTACCAAACTGCAGAAGCATTATCCGTCAGCTGCACACCCTGGGGGAGGTGGAGGCCTGGCCATGGATGATTCTTGGAGGTGTGGGATAAGGCTTGGAGCTCCACACTGTACAGCAGCCTTCTCAAGTTGATTTGGCTGGCTTTCCTTCCTTAAGCCATTGCAGGAAAGACATACATTGCTCTCTCAAGACGTGCATTAACAATCAGCAGGGCAGCTGACAACCATGATTCATTCTTTACCCCAAAGCCAGTATTTTTGGATGTGTAACGCATGGTTTATAAACTCTGTGGGTAGAGGGCACTAAGAATGAGGCTGCATGACAGCTCTTTGCTCCTTGTGGGTTTAGGGCAGAATGCCAGACTGTTGTGGAGAGCTGCAGGCAGCCTGACTCCACGGGTGTTCAGGGACCCCATGGGTGTTCAGTGACAGTGCAGGTGCTTGTGAGCAGTCACCTCTCTCCTCCCACATGTATTCTGGTGAGGTGGCTGGCAGGGTATGCTGTGGTTCTTAAGCCTTTTCGTGAGAGTAAGACTATTAGAGCTACAAATTGCCCTTGGCTCTCTAACTGCTGGTAGAAAAGTCAAGTAGTTGAAGTTGTGAATTTCAGACCACATTTTAAAATGGGAGAAAAATGCTTTGCATGAAGGTTTTTTCACCAGTATGATGAACACTGTGCCTGACTCATCTTTCATATGGAAGAACTAAGCAAGCTAAGAAATGACCCTCAGGGCAGGGATTTCTATCTCATTTTTCTTTTAAGGTAAGACATTTCCAAGGACTGGCCCCAAAGACTTCAAGTTTGTTGCCTGACCCCACCAAGGTGTTTTAAATTCTGGAAGTCAGGCATAGCTAGCTGGATGCCTTTGCAACAGCTTTCAAAGCAAGAGAACAACTGTCCCTGTAGGACCAGACTGATGCCCAGGTCCTGCAGTGCTGGATGTTCTCTGGCCAACTACCAAAGTGTCTGTAACGTGAGGGCTGGGAAAGTGTCAGGCTCTTCTATCAGCACCCTGGGCTGCACTACAGAGGCAGCAGGAGCTTTGTGGAGCCTCCTGGGAACAGGAGGTGAGTAATCACAGTTGCAATTCATTTCAAAAAGACAAATGAGCTCTCTTGCAGAAAGCTGTGACACCTGCTGAGAGGGCTGGTTGGTTGGGGTTGTTTGGTTTGGGTTTTTTTTTTTTTTTGTGGGAGAAATGTTACTTCTAGGTTCCGGTGGAGAAATTGAGTGGGAGAGCCTTGCACGTCCCTCGAAGGGTGAGCATTTTCATGGCCATCGTAGAGTGACTTCCCTGGGAAATAAGGGATGTCAGCGTTAGAGCCAGGATCTGACCTCCTAACTGATGGCTTCAGTGCAGTGCTTCGGCCACGAGGCTGTCCTTCCTCTGTTTCTGCTGACCCTTCATTATCTGTTTTGGCAAGGCTGGGACGCTGGGAGTTCACCCTTCCTCGGGCCCCTGTACCACAGCAGCTTTTCAGAGGGGATCCACACAGAGGAAACGTTTTGCTCTTCCTCGGGCGATCAGAAGAGCGGCTCAGCGGCCGCACAGGAGCACCAGGGTCTGGCGCTCACACGGCACCCGGAGCCCCCGGGCAGAGGCGCCCGTAGCCCTGTGCTCTGGAGGGCGCGCTGCCAGCAACCCGCCAGCGAGTGAATTAAGGCGAAACGATGTAAAAAGAAGCCAAGACCCGCGGAAGGGCGCGCACACCTGCTTATTGTTTCCCGGGACAGCGGT